ATAGCTGAAGAACCGTTTAACAATTACGGCGAATTATGCAGATGAAGTTGCATGCAAAAAGATAAGTTGTCGCATTGTCAACATAACGTAGCTCGATGTGAATTTTCTTATTTGACTATTAACTAAAAGCGATTAGTATTGTTTTTATGTTGAATTTTCCCACAATTTACTTGCAGCATGCAACTGTGGAGCTACAGATTAGAACTAAAAATTGAATGTTTAGTATCTAACTAAATAATCTCTGATATAGCTGCAGCTAATAAATAAGAGATTTTTTTGCTTAAAAACTTTACAAAGTTGTTGCTGTTTTTAAAAGTCTATTCGTTTTCTAAACCGTTCGATTTTGAGTCTTCGAAACCGATTCGAATGTGTGTTTATTTTAAAACTTTGTTAACTTTAAAACAGGAATAAATACTGTATGTACGGTTCATCGACAGTCACTTTAAAAATGATTAATTTACAGCTTAACGTTCTGTATTTGCTTAACAACAAATAGTGCAGAGCAATTTCAACTAAAATTTAACTATTAATTTTAATTTGCCAAAAATCCTGCTTTCCTTTCTAAATATTCAAATTGGTTTACGATAAAACGTACTTTTCCTTTTAATAATCTGTAACAACCGAAAAAATATGAAAAATCTTGATAGATTTGGGAACCAATTGATAAGATCTGAAAAGGACTAGAAAATTTTCAGTCAATAGACATGCAAAAATAAAAACTAGAGACAAGTTCACACGAGTTTTGAACGTTAATTAGTTCTTATTGTGAAACTCATATTTTTGAGCGCGATCATAATTCCTGAGAGCTTATAACGTTTGAATATAAATTAGTTAGTTTAGGAAATACTCCCAAAGAGAAGAACATAAGTTAAATAAGAAAAACATTTTCATTATTTAGTGAATTAACAAGTGAAATTTTAAAACAGTTTTGTCATATTTAAACTTGTTTGTTAAAAATTAAATGTTCTGCTTTGTGCAGATCGAAATTCAACAAAATTAGTTAAATTCCTTCTGATTTTATCTATTAGTTCATTCAACAAAATTTAATATTTCGCCCTTGGCTGCGAATTATTTTATTCTGTGGCAATCAATTTAGTTTTAAAAGAATTGTTTCAAATTCCAATTCAATCAAACTATCTCAGATTTTGCTGCAAACAGATTGCCTGCAATAAATTTCCAGAACACTTTCGAAAATCTCTTTCAATAGCTCTGGTGAAAAATTAAATTATGTTTTTTAAAATCAGTTTTAAATTTTCGAAGCAAAAGTGAATGCAGGTCACAATGATTTAAAATTAAAGAATTCAAATATAATAAATAAAAATCCCGCTGCTATCCATGTTAAACCCTGTATATTTTATATCACAACGTGTAATGATGTGATTAATTAGGTGACTAGTAAAATAAATAAACTGCTTGGCTCAAGAATTATAGTAGCTATTTATTAGATTAGCTTAACCACAAGCGGTAAAATCTACGAAAAAAACAAATTAATTAATTAATAGGACAAAGTGAAAAGCCTTGAATCTATTTTATATGATTTCGTCATGAAAATACGTAGCAATACTACAGAACGACTAGACAATGAGTCATACTCAAGAGTAAGGTTCAATTTTCTTTAATTGTTCCATTATATTATTTGCGATAAGAAATAAATGAAAATAACTCTCATCCCATCACAAGAGATTCTTATCGATTTAGATGGTTATATTAAGCAGTTAAAATGTTCATTTCATAGTTGGTAAATTTGGTACCTAATTAAGGAAAAAACTGATTTGAAGAATTATTAATATACGACCCAAAGCAAAAATTAATTTATAAATCCATGCCCTGTGAAAATATTAAATAATAAACCCAGCTGGTTTCATTTTAACTTGAAACATTTATTAAATTGAACTGATAATGTTTCAGACATTTCTTCCGAGCAATTCAAGTGAAAAGGTAACTTTGTCATTTAAAGTATCACGAATAAAAAACTATTTTTATTTTAATTTCCGTAAGTGATAAGTCCTACATAAAAATCTCCAAAAATATTTTTTTTTAATTTGCGATTGAAGTCAAAGCGAAATTAACAAAATTTTAAATTTATCGTACTGTAAAAGAAGAAATAGACCAGTAAACTAAGACAACCCAACCTTCAGAGACACGACACTTAATTTTTTACTTTACTTTAACGGTAAATTTGCCATCAATCGATATTCTCCAAATCACCCTACCAGTAAATAAAATAAAGACTTAATATATAATACATTTAATAAGTTTTTGAAATTCATATTGCGTCTATGTGGATTATTAGGCTTATGTAACTAGTTGATGATCGGAACAGGAACTGAAATATTGTCGCAAATAAACTATCACTCAATTTTCTAATTTCCTGTAGCAAATTAACTAAACAATAATATCAATTTTTGTTCCCACAATCAATATCGCAACAAGCGGATGCCTAACAGATAAGGGATAATTGAATTCGGATGATTTATTTGAATTTACTTTCACTTCTGCTTAGTAGAGCAATTTCAGTGAGAACATACCGACATCAACGACATTCATAATGCAAAAATGACTTGCATATTACTGACATAAATCATATTTAATTGTTTGCTGGATTTCCTGTTTCTTCATACCACACAGGAGCTGGATACGTGTTTCCTTGATTATATCAATGACTCTAAACCCATTTTACTCAGATGTTATATTGATTTTGTTACATAGAAATGTATGCATAAAAGTGATTAAGTGTTAAAAAGTCAATGAGTTTGCGCTATTTCTAGCAATGCTCTAGGGAATTTAATTTAGAAAAGAATTCTATATTCTGAAAATATATTCAGAATGTGCAGGAAATTACCAGAGTTAACGAGAGGGTAAAAAAGGTGTGTACTTCGTACAAAAAATTGAGAAAGATTTTCAGGGCTTCAGAGTTGGGTAAGAAAGTCTTTTAGTGCCAGCACTGTTTCTCTAGCAATAATAAAATATTGGAAATTGAAATAACCAGGAGCAACGTAAAAATATGCCAATTTTTTACTTAACTATACGATTATTATAGAGCTTTGCTGCTGCTTCTGAGCTTTTGAATTGAATGAAATGAATA